AAAAAAAAATCATTCTGTGTATCTTTGTCACAGAAATAAAGCATAGGTAACAAGTAATTTTCTCCAAAGCAGTAGTTCTCAATTTGATTTAAAAAAAATAAGCCATCCTACAGGAACTTGAAAAGCACCCAGGAGTCCTGGGCAAGGTTTGGAAGCAAACACCCCCTCCTGCAAAGCAGTTCCATCAGCTGCTACTCTCAAGATAACTCTCCTGTCTCTCCTCTACATTGTTCCCTCCTCACATCTTGTCACTTTCTACCGTTTCTAGGTATGGATCTCCAGCAAGGGTTGGATCCAACACCAAGCTTCCCACTAGACTAATAGATTTACTAGCTACATGACTATATATTGTTTTATATAATAACAGTTTCTTTATTCCCTCCATTGATTTTACTTTTAATATAACAATTTTATTACTTTCTGGGACTTTCATACAATAGTAACAATTTCAGACTTATTTCTAGTTGGGATGGAAGCTTTAAAACAGAGAGTTAATTAAACTTTTTCTATGCATGGCCTCTTTCTTTCTTTTTTATTATTTTTATTTCATAATTAATTTAATTTTACATATCAGTCACAGATTCCCCTGTCCTCCCTCCTCCCACCCCCCAGCCTTCACCACCCAATCTGCCCCCCATTCCCTCCTCCAAGGCAAGGTCTCCCCTGGGGAGGCAGCCCAGCCTGGTACATTCAGTTGAGGCAGGTCCAGTCCCCTCCTCCCTGCACCAAGGCTGAGCAAATTGTCTCAGCATAGGCCCTAGGTTCCAAAAAGCCAGCTCATGCACCAAGGTGAACCAATAGCATGGCCTCCTTCTATATGGGAAAATTTTATACAAACCTAGGTATTTAGGTATATCTAGGTATAGGTATATAAAATAGATACACCGATAACTTACTTATAATTAATCATAATGAAATTAATTGAAAGGGGTAGAGGCATGACTCGGCAGTAAGGGAAAATCTTGTGTACCTGAGGCCCTGCATTCTATCCTTAGCACCAAACAAAAAAAAACATTTTATTTGTGTCTATATGCCCTATTTATCTATCATCTATCTATCTACCTACCTACCTAGCTCTCTCTATCTATCTATCTATCTATCCATCTACCTACCTACCTACCTGTCTATTTATTAGTCTATCTATGTATTTAGTGTGTGCATATGTGTGTATATTGCATGGGTATACACACGCTACAACGTGTATGTGGAAGTCAGAGGACAATTTTGGGGACTAGATTCTCTCCTTTTACCATGTGGGTTCCAGGGACAGAACTTAGGTCATCAGGCTTGGTGGCAAGCATCCTTTCATACTGACCCATCTCACTGGCCTCAAGAATTTTTAATTAAAACAATTATTTGGTATATGTATAATTTTACAATTTATTAAAGATGAAATCAGGGTTCAGGAGACTCCCCAAACAATGTAGGCTATTGCTGTTGCCATTGGTTGCCTGCCAGAAATTGAAGGTAAGTCCTTATTGCTGAAGACACTGTACACTTCAGACAAGGACTTGAAGAATCAAGCTGGAAATGATCTGGAAACCTCCTCCCTGAGGACTAGCGCTCATAGCATCCAAAGGTGCTATGCAAGCTACCAAGGGAGAAAAGCAATCAACAGACCCATCCAACTATGAAGCCTACAGTCCATAACAATGACCAGCTAACAAGATATCCCCAGTGGTGTAATAGAGGCACATTTATCGTGAGGCTCAGCAGCAGCTGCTTAACTGGATTTAAGTTCTGCTCGACAGGAGGAAAGTCATGCCTGGTACTGAAAACCCAGGCAACTACCTGTGGCTGCTGTGGTCATGGATTCTAGAAGAGAACCTCCTACTGCCACTTTCATATAATTTCTAACTGCATTCTAAAGGCCTACCTTTATATCCACAGATAAGTGCAGCTCTCACCCTTCATCAAGGAAGCTTCTTTTTGCATCAGGTGGAGGTTATTACAGAGCTCTACAATTGGTCAAACTGCAAAGAATAACTGTGGGTGCCCAGTCATCATTAATACATCTACAGCACAACCTTTACACCTAAGACTCGGGGAAAATTGCAGAAGAGGGGTCAGAATGATGGTGAGCGCTAGGGAATAAGATGCCTGCTGCTCGGTAGTGTCTTCTAGACACCGCAGGAAAATGGAACCTGTGAAATCTCAACAACATGCTTACCTAATGGAAACCTGCATAATTATAACACCAGTTGATACGCCAGTATGGGTGGGAAATTTCACAAGACCCCACCCCGTATGATGAGCTACAGGCAACGGCTGCTGAGAAAGGGAGACTCCGTCTTTTCCAGAGATGAGCTACTGGATAGGTTATCCAAACCCAAGTGCTTAGCTATAAACGAATGTACTAAATGGATTCAGTACAGTGTGTATATGTGACATTAACAAAGAAAGAAGGAGATCATGAATTTGAGAGGAAATGGGGGAGATGGGAGGAATTGGAGATGGAGAGGAGGGGTGGAAATGATCTAAATGCAATATCGTGCATGAACTTCTCAAAAAAGTAAAAATAAATGAAAAGATAAAGAAAATTCACATAATACTGCAAATTAAATGAATATACTTGCTTATTGTTTATGTGAAGAGTTAAATCTTGGTGATATATCTGATAATGCAGGAAACAGAGCACCTTCAGCATTTTTCCAGGTTGCTCGATATCTTGATTTTACAATTGGTGGTAAAATGCAACTTTTCATAAGTATGTGTTAAAGTACAAAACAGCAGAAGGATGTTTTAGGGCCATTTCAAAAATTCTGTCCCAACCCCAAGAAAAAAGTCACTTCATGATTTTCATGTAAAGTTCAAGTCAGCAACTCAAAAAAAAAAATCCATTTTTTAAATATTCTAAGACAGCAACCCAAGGTTTACTAATGTGGCACATGCAGCAAAAAGACAGTAGAAAATTGTAATAGTTTTTGTTTTCCATATTTAGGTCATTGTTTCCATAGGAACAGAAAACTCAAGTGTAAAGTAAAAACACTGAAGTTCACAGTATGCAGCGGTTTGGTCTGAGCCAATATGTTTCTAGCAACACTGGCCGGTGTCACGTGGTGTGACAGTATGCACAGTGCAAAGTGGGTTATGTTCTGTGTTCAGAACCAGCACTGAGGCTACCTCAATGATGCCGCGCAACATGGGCATCATGGCCAGAAATACCTCCAATTCAATACCCATTTGACTTTTCATTAATTTTTTATTTTCGTATGTTCAGAAACCTTGTACTCTTAGGAAATTTTCCCAACCCCCGCAGATACAGGGTCCCACAGGGACTCCTGAGCCCTGACTGGAAGCTGTATTCTAGAAGACAGAAATCATATCCTGTTCCCCACATAGTCTTGCATGAAGCCTCACACATGCTTGCTATTGTTTCTCCTTAAAGTTAGTTTTAGATGTTCAAATTCGGAGTGGTTTTCTCCTTTTCTGCCCTAGTTAAAATATGGAAAACCAGCAAAAGAGGCAGGATTGCCGTTTGGAAGACATAGTCATTCCCAGTTTAGAATCCACCCTGCTATAGCCAGAAGCAAGTCTGTATATTTAGTGACTGCAAGTTTCTTTTATTAAAAAAAATAGAATTAGAAAAATATTAATTTCTCAAAAAGCTTCATCCCTTGTATTATAGAGTTCTTTTTGAGCCTATTCACTAGCTAATTGGAATGGAAGGTTTTTAAATCTAAAATGGTTGGAATTCATAATTGGTCCACATATTGGTAAAGTTATTTAAAGACATGAGGAAATGCATAAATGCTGGAATTATGACACACAAATAGCCATTCACCAGTCTTTGAAATAAAATCCCTTCTTTTACTATGAGTCTGATATGTACATCTATTGTTCTTCTGGCATAAGTCACTAGATGCCTTATCTCCTACACTGTCACAGTAGCTACACTGTGTTCACAATATTGGTTTTTAAAATGAGAACAAGAACTTAGCTTTGGAAGTCACCCGAATATAGAATCACTTTAGATTTATGTTTACTTACTGCTTCTGTATGTTATAGTTTCCTCACTTTCCCCCAAGAAAACATCTTGTTTTAGCAGCTGTTAGATTCATTTCAGGAAGACTTTATAAAAATATTTATGGTTGTATGTCATAATCATATATAATTGTGTGACTATTTAATTCTATCCTATAGTATAACAGTGGGCATTGCTTGGGGACAAATACAAAAGGCTCCTAGCAAGTAGCAGATAAACCAGTTGGAGGCACAGCAGTGAGAGCTCAGCTGCCAATTACAAGGCTTGGCAGTGCTCAGAAGGTTTTACCTAAAAATTAAAATGAAATGGGAATGTGTGAACACCTTAGAAGGAAAGGAACTCGGAGACCCGCTGCTTAGCATTGAGAATCTCCAGTCACAGCTCTGTGGGATATTAGGATGAGGGTGGAGAGCTTAAAATAACCTGAGAATATCCTAGAGATTGAATTGAAGAGTGGATGGGTCTGTACAGGAAAACTAGATTTTTACCTTCTCGCAATATTTAGAAGTAGAACAATACTTAGGTCACAGAGTGCAGTAGTTCTCAACCTTAGCTATTTGACCCATCTCTACAGAAAAGAAAATTTCCATTTAAAAAAACCCCACATTTTTAAATAACTCATTCGAACTTTCTTCCTTAACATGATGTTACTGACTTAATCTAATGTTTAAGTTGCTCTTTTATAATTGTTTCATGATACTGCATTATTTGATAGTGTGATTAAAATAACCACAAGAAGAAGCCACATCAAACGAGATACAGAGAAATAACAGTAGTAGTGTTCCATTATAGAAACAAACAAGTAGCTCAGGAAGATCTGACTTAGAATAATATTGGAACAAAAGTGAAATTTAATAAAAATATAAACAATAGTGTTTGTGGGTTTCTTATCTTAAAACTGCACAGGTGATTTTTAGCTGGGCTCAAATTTCCTGAGACTTAAAATGCCATATTTTAAAGATTTTCCTTCTGACCATTTTACTTACCTTCACATTTTAATCTTCTTCATTTCCAGGGTCTTGAAGGTGTTTCTTTCCCGAACAGCGCAAAGGATTCCATACATGACTGGTGGTAGAGTCATGAGGATGCTGGCGGTAATACTCTTGGTAGTGTTTTGGTTTCTCGTTGGCTGGACTTCTTCTATGTGCCAGAACTTGGAGAGGGATATTTCGCTTGTTGGCCAAGGGCAAACATCTGATCACCTCACCTTCAACATGTGCCTCGTTGACCGCTGGGATTACATGACAGCAGTTGGTACGTGGTCACCTCGTGCTTTGCATGAGTGTCTCATCCTTTTCTCAACAGCATCAAAATCGGTCTAGTGAAAAGCCTTGTCAAGTCTGATCTTTAAGTTTAAAGGACTTTTTATGTGATTTTTGATAATAGCGACATTACAAAAATGATAATAATGATATATGGAATGCAAACAAAAACTTTCACTTTTTTCCAAAGGCTCATTCCTTTATTGGAAAAAAACCAGTGTACGAAATGCCAAGAACAAAGGCAACATCTATATACAGAGAAATTATCGATTGGTCTCTAGCTGATTAACAGTAGCCATCTTGATTTATATTCTCGGGTGGTAGGAGGTTAGAAGAATGTTGGTATTTTTTCTGTCCAGAGGTCTTATGATATTGATCTGACTTCACTCTTGGTGAATAGTTGACTGTCTAAAACCTATGATTAATTTATCTTCCCTATATTCATCTCTGACGAAAATTCTCTGGGAGTCCAGGATCAAATGACAAAATCAAAAGATGGAGAGAAGTTTGTATTACTTTGTTGTTGTGCCCATTTGTGAGTCCAACCAACCAACCAACCAACCTTCTTTTAAGGGCATATGTAAAAAGTAAAATAGTAGTTTAATTCTCATTTTCTGTCTCCTTGCCTTTTTTTTTTCTAGAAGCTAACAAGATATGTCCTTATTAGTTCACAGTTCAAATAGAGAATGTTCTCCTAAGCGAGGTATTTCAGGACATTTATAACCCTGATACTGTAATGATGAAGCCATGTGGCTGTGGACATGTCTGTAGTGAGAATGTATTTTAAGCAATTTAACTTTCAGAGGATAAGCAAACAGCAACGATAGAAAGCAGTTCTGGGTTTGGCTCTAGTGTGGTTATGATAAGGAAGACACTGCATACACATCAAATTTCTATTCAGCAAAACCCTTTAATGTTTTATTTGATGCTTTTCAAGGTAACCAAAGCAGAAAAAGTTATTTTCTCATATTATTATGAAGAAAATCCCACTATGTTTACGTTTATCAAAAGACAATGACAATACTGAGCACACATGAGGATGCAAACACGGAGACAGCATGGTCGATTCATGTAGTGTTTCTGCTTCCTTTGCACACAACCTTCCTATGCAATCAGGACTTGTTAAAAACTTACTTTGTACTCTGCAGAAATAAATGGGGATGTATGATTAAGAATTGTAATGCATTTAGTAAACTTTACTGGAAAGTAAGAATTACATGCTATCAGTAAGATTCACTTCAGTACTTCTAACTTCTCTACTGCTGTGCTGAATGCCTTTTGGGAGATATGAAATGTATAAAGGCCTATGCCGCTGGCCAAGTGTTTACTCTTAGTTACTATAAAGAAATGGGAATTATTAAATGATCAGAAAACAAAGTACAGTGAAAAGATTTTTGGTACAATAATTTTTCAGTGAAGGAAGACAAAATGTTTTGGACAAGAGCCCAAGAATCTTTATGTAGAAGCACATTGAGCCATGGGTAATGTTTGGGTTATTATAAAGATATGTAGGTAACATTTGATAGGAACAACGACAGATGGGGGTGGGTGGGAATTATGTCAAACATGATGGAGACATCTAAGTAGAAAGAGTTGGAATACATTATGTTGGAACACATTATGAACGATGCTTGATGGTAAATTTATTGAAAACATCAGAAATTTAGAGAACTAGGAAAATGGTATAATGATCCAATAAATTCAATTTTGATTACTTTCATTATGTGCTGTTATAGAAAGTACAGTGTGCCAAATCCAGTGACTTGTGGGTTGGAACATTTACAAGGGAGAGATTTAGAAGAGTGGTCCCAGTGTGTCATCCTTGGGAACTTGTTAGAAATGTATAGTTTGGATTCACTCCAAATCTTCTCAGTCAGCACCCTGGTACCTGGGGCCTAGCACTTCATGCTTAATATAACGGCAGATGGACCTGGTTTTATGCTGCCATGTGTAACTTGGACCCTGAGGGCACAATCAGATGAGCTTGCTGCAGCCTAGTGACAACAAACCCCAGGTATGCTCTGGCCATTCCATGGTGCTCATCAGGACCCCAGACCACTAGAACCCTCCTCCTACTGGTCATTTCCAGTTTGATTTAATTTCCTTCTGCCCCATGCTTCCATGCCTCACTTTTCCATTCATACACAACAAACACCTAAGCATAACAAGTAGGTGACATCAGATAGAGGATTCTTGCCTACCCTGTAGCAAGAATTATTAAGAAAATCAAACCTGGAGCCAGATATTGTGGCGAATGCTGGAAGATCAGAGAAGCAGAACAAGCCACAGCTACCTCACCTCGCCAATTCCTCAGCTGATCTTGTTCCCTCAGACTGAAAACCTCTGTGTCCTCATCCAGAATGAATCTCAGTTGAACTGCTGCTCCAAAGCCTGAAAGCTTAACCAGCTAAAAGCTTCTAGTTTCTGGTCTTCACGCCTTACACATCTTTTTGCTTTTTGCCATCACTCCCTGGGATTAAAGGCTCACTTTCTGGGATTAAAGGCATGAGTCACCTTGCTTGGCTGTATCCTTGAATACACAGAGATCCAGGTAGATCTCTGCCTCTGGAATGCTAGGATTAAATGCGTGTGCTAACACTCCCTATCCTCTATGTTTAATATTGTGGCTGTTCTGTTCTCTGACCCCAGATAAGTTTATTAGCGTGCACAATATTTCAGGGAACACAATACTACCCATCTATAAATCTCCCAAGTCCACACACATTTTGACCTTTTATTGCCCACACCACGTTAGTGGACAGCCATCTTAACCTGTACGCAGTTAACCAACGCTTCACCCCATTCCCCATGACCCTTCTCACTTTCTAAGACCTGTTGTCTGAAACTCCCCTGCGTTCAAAATCTCATAGAAATCCACTCTGACCACATTTTTCCTAGCTCTTTTGTGACTTTTGAATATAGCTGTTTAATATACCAGACTTTTTATTTATTTTATTTTATTTTATTTTTTGTTTTTTTGAGACAAGGTTTCTCTGTGTAGTTTTGGTACCTGTCCTGGATCTTGCACTGCAGACCAGGCTGGCCTTGAACTCACAGAGATCCGCCTGGCTCTGCCTCCCAAGTGCTGGGATTAAAGGTGTGCACCACCACCACCCAGCTGACTATTTTTATTGTACAATCATGCCCACACAATTACATTTTGACTAATAGTAGTCTCTCTATATAATGGTGGTCCCATAAAATTATAATGAAACTGAACATTCTTATCACACAGTGGTGGCATGGCTATTGTTATGTCACCATATAATACCTTAGCCAATGTGTTTTGGTGGTGCTGCTGTGAATGAACATATTACTTGTATGAACGTATAGCAGTGTAGTGCATAACACCTGATATGACAGAAGAGGCTGCATTACATACTTACATACTGTGCTCCACCATCCATCATTGTTGTTAGGGCAGTGGTTCTCAATCTTCCTAATGCTGCGACCCCTTAATACAGTTCCTCATGTTGTGGTGACCTCACAACCACAAAATTATTTTCATTGCCACTTCATGACTCTAATTTTGCTACTGTTATGAATCATAATATAAATATCTGATATACAAGGTATCTTATATGTAACCCCCAAAGGGTTGTGACTCACAGTTCACACCCACTGTTTTAGAGGGTACCCCTGCCTAGAAAAGCCTTATTATAAAACATGATGCTGTGTTGCTAGGACAGCAGCTCATACTTCTCACATTCATTCACACACACTGAATGGCTAACTTACACCATCTACACTGATATAAGTGTACTTTGTGATGTACACACAGAGACAAAACTGCTTTATTCATCATTTTCTGAGCATATTCTCATGATTAAGGAATATACAACTGTTCGATTACTATGCTCTTCATCCCCAGAAAAGAAAAAAAACTCATTAAGTAGCAAATATCCCCCTAGCAGAAGAAAATATGCAAAGAGTGATTTCTACAGTAATTCTGGATAATTCTAGAGAACAGAACATGTAAAGCAAGGAGGTCTGAGCCCACTGGGATTTTTTGAGAGCAGAATATAATTCCTCTAAGTTTCCGTGCCTCTGAGGATTCTATCTATAATATTCTGAAGTACTTATGCTGATTGTGATATCACTCATCACTTTAAACTTTCTGGAATACATTTAAACACTCTCTGTACATTATTAGAAGTGGAAGAGTGCATCCTTCCACCTCTCCCTCACCTTTCCCTTCTCTGATAGCTACGTGATCCATAGTGCCACTGCTGTACAGCTGTGTGGTTCACACTGTTTCCCTGACACTCAACAAGCCAGCTGCCACTCGCAGACTCTTGACAAATATTTGCTGGAAGAATGAAAAACAAGCCCACCTCTCTTTCTCTCATTGTAGTTTCTGTGGCCAAGATTAGATTAGGAGGAAGGAACTTGCTAAAACTAAAAAATCCAGAAATTACACAACTGTTCTCAATTCATTTTAAATATAAACATGTATGCTCAAATTTTAGAATACATTTTTTTGAGGCTTCTAAACTAATTTGGTACTCTCCAGCCTTTTACTTTGGTTCATTTTTATTATACCTTTGTTCAGGGTCTCATGGAGAATAGGCTAGCCCCGTACTTGCTAACTGAGGCTAGATCTGGACTTCTCATCCCCCTCCCTCTACCTTCCCAGGGTGGGATTACAGGAATGCCCCAGCACCCCTGGCAGCCATGGCCGTATTTATAAGACTTGGTCACATCTGACTTCTCCAGTAGTCCACATAAAATGTTGGTACAGATTTGGCCTGGCAAATAAAAATTATAATCTTAAAAAGCATTAAATGGTATAATTATTTATAATTATAAATATTAAAGATGTGGAGAATTTATTTACTTTTGATGAACATTTCAATTGTTTCACTGTCTTTTAAGAGCTCTGAAGAGTTTGAAACTGGGAAGTATTCTCTCAAGTTAATGAGAGAAATTCAACTAAATAAAAACTCAGTTAGACTCATTGAAGAACAAGTTTCTAGTCATGTGTTTCCTTCT